ACAAAGCCTATCTGAAAGATGAAAAGACAGCTTCGTTCACACCGAAAGCAATAGATGGCATGTGTTTGAGCCAGAGGCAGCTAACAAAGTGATGTAAACAAGAGAAAGAGTTTGCACCAAATGAAAAGTCAAGCAGAGTGTTTATAAGCTGCCGAGAGAACAAACAGCTACAGCTAAAACATTCAAAGAGAGAGAAAGGAAGGAAAACACTGAACCACAGTGCTACAGATATTGTTACACCAACGGGACGAAATGCAATATCCTTATTTTATTCTCTCCAGAAGCGTGGTGTATCCACAGCTCCTACATAAAATACTTTGATTGCTAATCAGTGCTCTCCACTTGGCAAGTATCAGCGTTTACATTTACGGACACTACAGAGCCAGTGGGAACACAGGCAGCACAGAGCTACGGACAGACACTCAGGGACCTGCTTCTGATAAAGGCAATCATGACATCTTTGCTGAACCCTCTCAAACACGATTAGGAGAGGGTCATCGCCCCTCTAGATGCTTTAGCAGGTCAGCTGTTGGAGGCTCCTCGCCACCCCAGTTCCTGCACCCTGTTTGGTTCACCTGAAACACGCACTTCCCCGAGCTCCCGCAGTGGAACAGACTGGTTCCCCATCAGCGGCCCTGGGCAGTCTCACACCTTGGTAACAACTCTGCCTCAAAGCCTGGCAGATGTAGCTGCTACACGGCCTAACGCCAGGCACCTTCACAGAATCCCAGCATGTTGGGGGTTGGCAGGGACCTCTGTGGTCATCCAGTCCAACCCCCTGCCCAAGCAGGGTCACCCAGAGCAGGCTGCACAGCACCGCGTCCAGGCGGGTCTGAAATATCTCCAGAGAAGGAGACTCCACAGCCTCCCTGGGCAGCCTGGGCCAGGGCTCCGTCACCCTCATCTCATGGTTCCACCTACCACCAGGATTCAGGATGTCCCTTCCCAGCGGTGCCAAACCCTTCCCTGGACGCAGCCCTCCCTGACCCCCACCCCCTCACTCAGGTCCTCCTCCGACCACCCCGTTTTCCCCACAGCTTTCCCCCTCCTCCCCGCCGGAGCA